TGAAGTTGTCCCCAATTGTGTGACCTTTTAATATTAAATATTTTGTGAGTAGGACCACTTTCAATGGTGGTATGATAGAAATGAATGTGGTCTTTTAGGTGGTGAAGGGGGGCCCTAGTCTTATATGATATTTTACTTAAACTATTCCCCTTTTACTTATGCTTTTTACTAGTTTCTTTATTATTTTCTAACTGGACTTATTTGCTATGTTTGAAGGTTATTGGAGATGGTGTTAATTGATATAATATTCAATTATGGTGGTGAATGAGTTGCAGAGCCTCAAGTCTTATACACAAAGAAATCGGTGCACACTTGACAGGTTATGATTCAGACCTACATTCATATATAGATATAGTGAAAGAATATACAAATGAGCTAGGGTTTATAGGAGTTCAACAATTTATTGTTGCTGGTCCTTCTGGTTAATTCTGTGAGATTGAAAGGGATGTTGGGATTAGACATTTACTGTACTTGATATGTGGTGAATACAATATTGTTAACCTTTATGTTGTGGATGAATGTGAACCCCCTATTTATAGTATCCATGGTATTATACACCATAAAGAATCATACCCCCATGACGATGAGGTTGGTACTGACTGTAGCTTAAGTGATTTAGAGTCTGACTCTAGTTCTGAACCAGAAGGATATGATTTTGAAGAATTAGAAACATTGACAATACAAAAAAGGGAGAAAACTGAAATGAGTACAAAGAGTTGTATAAGGGTATGACTTTTAAGTACATATGAGAAGCTAGGAAGTGTATGAAGTTGTATGATTTAGCAAACAAGAAAAAAATTAGAATTGTTGAAGAGTGACAAAATAAGGTTTAGGTATAAATGTGATATTTTTTGTTGCCCCTTTTTTGTGTTTGATATCCAAATAGAAGAATGATGGGATTAAAAATCAAGATCTTAAATACAGAACATAATTATGGTGTTTCTTATGATAATAGCATAGTTGATTTCAATACCATTACACAATATTTCAAGAAACAATAATAGGATAATCCTAGATATAAGGTAAAGGAGATGATGATAGATTTGAAAAGGGTTTTTGAACTAAATATTAGCCATGAGAAGTGTAAGAGAGCAAAGAGAATGGTCTTGGAATCCTTGGATGGTAGTTTTAGTGATAAGTACAATAAACTTGAGGCTTATGCAATTGAATTGACAGATAATAATCCAGGTAATAATATAATTATTAACCTTTCAAAAAATGCACTTGAAGAAGGGAGAAGAAGATTCTTGAGGATGTATATTTGCCTTACAGCATTAAAGATGAGTTTCAACCTAGGGTTGAGACATTTTATTGGTCTAGATGACACTTTCTTAAAAGGGAAAGCTAAAGGCCAACTGCTAGTGGCGGATGGACAAGATTTACAGAACCATTTCTACCTTTGGCTTGGGCAGTTGTTGATAAAGAAACAAAGAATATATGGAACTGGTTCCTGCAGTTGCTTCAATATTCTCTGGACCTCAAGGATGGGGAAGGAATTAATTTCATGTCAGACATGCAAAAAGTATTTTTAGTTTTGTCTTTTTATGTTCTTGTTCATTTATATTTCATTTTTGTTTTTACTTCTGTTCATTATATCTGTCTTTTTCTGTTCTTGTCCACATATATTTTTGTTTTTCCTATTTATGTTCATTATATTTGTCATTTTCTATTTATGTCCACATATATTTCTCTTTTTCCTATTTTTGCTAATTATACTTGTCATTTTTTATTTCTGTCCATGTATATTTCTGTTTTTCCTAATTCTATCCATTTTAATTTTGTCTATTTGTTGTTCATGAAAATGTCCAAGTGACTGTATGTTTATGTAACTATTATGGGAATTTATTGATGTTGTTAGAACTATCATCCCCCAGGCACAATAATATTGTGCTAGACATATTTAGGCTAACTAGTGCAAGATATAAAATAATGAGACAAAAACTACTTTAGTGGTGTACATGATCTACCTATGAGGAGGAATTCAAGGACTAACTGAAGAATTTAGGGGAGTTGAACAAGGATGCAGCTGCTGGTTTGTTGAAGTACCCACCTCAGGCTTGGTGTAGAGCTTATTTGGACACAGTATAAGAACCAGTCAGTTGATAACAATTTGACTGAATCTTTCAACAAATGAATTTTGGAAGCAAGGCATAAGCTTATAATAAATATGTTGTAGGACATTAGAATCAAAGTCATGAACATATTAAGAGAACATGAAGATGAGGTGAGGAGTAGGAGTCATGACTTTAGTCTAAAAAATATGGAGTTGTACAATGAGTACATGCAAATTGCTCAAACAACTTGTAAAGTTAATTCCAACGGAGAAAATGGTTATGAAGTATCGAAAGGTTCTGATAAGCATTGTGTGAATTTGGCTACGAAGAAGTGCACTTGTAGTCAGTGAGACCTTACAAGAATCACATGTCCACATGTTATTAAAGTTGTACTTCACAATATGGGTGATCCTATGACAGAGATAAACTAGTGGTATAGCAATAAAATATTTCTGTTCACTTATAAACACAAGCTGCAACCTGTAAAAGGAGAATTTTTGAAAGGTTGACCCATCACAAGCAATAGAGCCACCTAAGTTGGTGAAGTTGACTGACAGGCCTAAGGTAAAGAGATATAGGCAGAAGGATGGGACAATTAAAAGGCAATAATTATGGTTACAATCCAGAAAAGGAAAAGTCATAACTTGTAATACATATGGAGAGACAACCTACAACACTGAGACTTGTGGACATATAAGCTATAATTTGAATATTTATTTAGTAAAATTTGAACTTATTAATGTTTTTCTAACTTGTTTTTCTTTTCAGTAATTAAAGGAAAAGGAAAACAACAAAGAAAGATGCCAAGAACTTTGATAGATGAAGAAATTAAAAGAAGAAATTAACTGTTCAGCACCTTCAATTAGTCAACCAAATCAGGACTGTGGCTTAAAGTTCATGCCTACACATGGAGTTAGGTGTATTGGCCATTCAAGCAAGGATTAGGACATTGAATTTTTAGATATTGGACATGATGAAGATGTTGTGTTGAGGCCAAGAGTGATACGAGAAGTCAATACAAGACTTAAGATGAGACAGAAGGTACTAATACCCACTGACACAAGGCCAATCAACTTCACTGGTGATCACACTAGTGTTAGTAATCCGACAAACGTTCCATACTCACCACCATCCTTAAGATGGAAGGGAAAATCTGCTTCAATCGCAAATCAATTAGAAACACAAAGGCAAGAGAGAATTGAGAAGTTTAGACCAAGGAAAGGAAAATGATGACCAAGCTGGACTTTTTTTTATGTGTTTTGTCAGTATGTATTTACTGCAAACTTACTGATATTTTACCTCATATCTAAAATTCTATTAATATTGGTATTGTATTTGGATGTCACATTAGGACTTATATTGTGTAAGTTTTTGTTGTTATAGTATGACATCCATTCTTTCATTTGATATTGTCTAAGTAATCTTTTGGTGATGTAACTACTGTGATGCCAGTAATAAAATGCTTGACAATGTTTAATGTTTTCAAGTTATATTATCTTAAAGTTGAATGTCTAATATTTATTCAGTTAATTCTGCTGGAGATATGGTAATGGTAGTGCACTAAAGTTGTGTCTTAACATTGTTGCAGTTTTGAAATGATACAGTTTTGGGTATGGTATTGCAGTGTTGAATCTGTCTTGAGTTATAGATAGGTGTATCTGCATCTTCAATTTGGGGTAACCAAAGAACTGACAAACAGAGAAAACCATTTCTTCCCTATGCTCATCTCTATTTAAGAATTTGCAATAACTTGTTACTAAAAAATACACTGTTTGGGCAATTTTTTTCTCCCCATTCGATTGTGTTTACCATCTCTCTTTTGCTTGTGCGCCTAAATTTTCTTGTCTAGGTATTGCACTAAAATTGTGTTGAAATGATACAGTTTTAAGTAATAATGCAACATGCAAAAACATTGCAAATCAGTAGGCACTACACAAATTTCAAACTAGAAATATTTCGTAACATTACAAACCAGTTGATTAATACAAAAATATTCATGGGCATTTTGATTACAACAATACGTTTCATCAAAAACATTTAATTTCATCAAAGATAATAGGCACTATTGGTGCATTACTTCATCATCATTGCCTCAACCAAGCCAACAAATAGTACAAATGATATCAAAATAAACATCTTCATCTTCAACACTTTCTCTTCCATCTCCCTTACTTTCTTCACTTTAATATCTTTTATAGCCTCTAGTACATTAATTTTTCCTAGCAATTTGTCCCTTTCAAGCTTGCACGTATCCAATAACTGATTCAACATATTGGTTGTCACATTAGCAACATCTAATTTATACTGCAACTTGTTGATTTCTATTAACGCTCTATTCGGGAAAGCTTCGTCTTACCATTTTCAATATCCGCATGACTCATTCTAACAAAAATCAATAATTATATTACGGAAAAAGGAAATAAAATTTGTATAATAGGTTCAAACAACGAATCACAAATAAAATTAAAACTTACTTAAGGTTGAGCACGCTTATAGAATCCCCTTCCGGGATTTTGAGGTATGGTTGATTGGAAGTTGTTGGCAATCTCCCTACAATGGCACCTCCTCTTTGATTTAGTAGTTGAATCGGATATTGAATCTACCTTTAGCACCACCTTATAATATTTAACTAAGAAGCACAAAGAGTGATTGAATTTTGAGTTATAGAATTTTGAATTCTGAGCAATAGAGAGGTTCTCATATTAGGGGGACGAAATACGCTGAAAAATTAAGGTTCTTAACTTTAAATTAGTTGGAAAAAAGTGGATCAAGTTTGTGGGTCGGGAGCGAGTTCAAATCAATCGGATAAAAAAAGAACCAGATGACCTTGAGCCTTAAATCCTTGTCACGTGTCGGTTCCGTCAATATGGAGTATTTTTATTTAATAGTGTAACGGCAAGAAGTCTTTTGACCGGATAATATTACTTTTACTGTTTTATGTAATGTATCCTGCCAAAGGACGATTAAAGAGGTTTTCTTCTACATATAGGTATACACAGATTCTACACGTCATTAGGAAAACAAAAGAATACAAGGAAAGCGAAACAGCGGTCATTGAAAGGGACGCCCGAATTCCGTCCATTATTCACTCTCACTAGCAGAAGCATTGCTCCCTACTCGCCGGTATGCACTCTCTCACCCGAATTTACATCTTTATCACTACTAATATGTACGGAATGCCAGTTCAGATTTGACTGAGCTATCAACTACCATTCGTCCGTTAGTCGCCCAGTAATTAGCTAATTTTTGGGTCGAATGCAACTAGTTTTTTTAATGCCTGTACATTTAATTATGTAGAGTTGCTGGGAATTTTCGTTGTGGACTGTAACTTTCTTATTAGGGGTTCTTGCCTTCTTCGCGGTAGTCTTTTAAGTCTAGCTGAGTTCGGAATTTAAAGAGGTTTTTTGTGTTTTTGGGTATCCTGATGCATGAACATTTGCTTTTTTCTTTTTTCTTTTTAGGGAAAGAATTATTCCGATTTTACATTGACATTGGTTGTTCCGATTTCTTTATGAGGCACTTTATGATGGGACTGATTTTGTAGTAAAATGGTAATGCAAATTTATGTATATATCGGCTGTATGTACACTAATAAAAATCAAAGCTTTTTCTAATTAACGATGGTGTTTGGGTCAACTTGTATGCACATTGTGTATTTCTAGCGGTATCCTCATATATCGGCTGAATTAGCGTGATAAATGAGAAGAAATCACCTACATTTAAAGAAAAAAAAAACTCTACCGGGGATTTGTACTCTGGTTCTCATGGTCTTTTTTTACAGCTCGACTGCCAGGTCACTCCCTTGGGTGCACTAATAAACTTATTAACTGTTAACTGATAAACAAAAATAAAATTTTAAGCTTCTTATTGCTCATTTTCTCTGTTTTGCCTCTTTTGAGTTGGCTAATGTTCATAATAGCGAAGATAGTGGCAATGAATTGGGGATCAATTTGTATATCTTATTGGCGGATTTAGGTTGTCCTCTTTCTTAGCGACGTGTTACCAGTGCAAATTCTTGTGTTTGCAATTTCTTTTTAAGAAAACTATGGGAAAGTGGGAATAGAATGGGACAAGATGGATCAACTATCTATTAATACGACATTTAATCTCCTTTCTGTTCTTTCTAGTACGGTACCTTGACTAGTATTATTGGTAAAATATTTTGACAAGCTTCATAACTGAGTTACACCAAATGCCTCACTCTCCTTAATTTTAGTGTTGGTACTTGGGTTCTTTAAATGTTGGCGAATGGAAGAAGACGAAGGGAAAAGTAAAAAAACACGATTCCCTACCTTTTGCTGGAAAAGGGATTACTAAAATGTACATTTCAAATTATAAGTGAGCCTATGAGCTGCTTACTTAAACATAGACTGATGACATTTTCCAATTTCAGAGAACAAATGCACACAAGATAATCTTGGTCTATTATAACTTTCCAAGGACCTTAGGTGATTTGTATTTGGTCAATAAGAACTGTCTTTCCTACATCAACTGTTAGAAATAAGATCTTCAAGTCATAGATATGGTCGTTTTTGTTACTGATCCAAAAGAAAGAAAAAGTCAGAGAATTTGTTCCTATAGCAGATAACAGAAAAGTGATCTAGGATGTACTTACTTTCTTAAGCAGCCATATGTCTTTTCAAGATTGCAGGTTTTATTTTTGTCAGTTTCATTGGTACCAGTATATGATTCCCCATTCCTGTTGTTCGCAAACTCATTGGTTCTCTGTATACATTCCTGCTTCTTCAATATGACCCTCTGTTTTTCTCATTGTGGTACACATGCATTTTAGGAGTGCTTTTTCCTTTGCAGAGCAACAACTTCACTCATGGTTGGGATGGAAGGCAAGAAGTGGAAAAAGAAAGGGAAAATTTTCAGTCAATCAAATACAAAGAAACTTATGATGAAGAAAAAAAAGGTCGCTGCAAAGGTTAAGCCAAGTGTTGTGATAAATCAATCTTTTCTTCCTATTAATTACCCGGCAGGAGTCTCTGCTCCTTCTGCTTCTCCAGTTCCTGCTTCTAGTCTTGGTAGAGTTGCCTCACAAGAGAAAGACGAGGAAGCTTTCGAGGAGCTTTCTGGTTTTATATTTTTGTGCAGTGGAGATACAAAACTCGATTGTTTCAGATTTCGAGTTTTTGGGCTTCGTTCAAATAAAAAGGAAATTGTAGAAAAGATTAAACCTGGAACAAAGCTCTTCCTGTTTGATGTTGAGTTGAAGCTCTTATATGGTGTGTATGAGGCAACATCTACTGGAAGAACACACTTGGAACCAAGTGCTTTTGGAGGCAAATTTCCAGCACAGGTAAATCGTTGTTTGCTGTCAGTTGTTTAATATTCTGGCCCAATTGTTTGTCAGTCTTGTTCTTGATATAAAAGGTGTATGATGTCTTAGGAAATTGGATTGGGACCCTCTGGTTCGACGTGATTCGTACTGATCCTGCTTGCATTTATGATTTGCTTGTGTTAGCACTCAACCTTGGCATGTATGTGTATTTTTCAAGAATTCTCTTCACCAATCTTTCCAAGTGATTGGAACAAGTGCTTAGGCCTTGATGAGAACATTATCTTGTCCTGGTAGGAGGAAGTTCTGAGGGATAAATATCTTCCTTTACTTGGCTTTAGGCCAGTGATGCATTTATTTCAGTTAAGTTGTCACTATCTCATGGAACTATCCACTGTAGAAAGCCATTGCTAATTTATAGTACATTCTTCTGTCTACTTTTATGTTTTGTCAGTGTGTGTGTGTAACATATTGTGGTTGTAGTCACAGGGACAGGTAGTTATTTCAGATGCTTGCGGGCTTTTATTAGATTGTTACGTCTCAAACCAATTAGTTATTTCAGATGTTTTCAGGCTTTATTTTTTAATTAACGGTAGTGTCTGGGCCAGGTTGTGCGCACCTCGATGCTCCACCAATTGGTGTGGTGTAAAGGTTCTTCGGATTGACGAAATTCACTTTCTCGACCTTCTTGGTTTGCGTGAGTAGATACTAGCTTCATACTTCTGTTGCTCTCTTTTCATTCAGGTGAAATTCAAACTCTTTAAGGAATGCCTTCCGCTGCAAGAATCTTCTTTCAGACACGCTATAAAGGACAATTATCATGGCAGAAAGTTCAAACCCGAACTAAATGGTCGTCAAGTAAGGGGTTTTCTTATTTCACACAAGTCTTTCAAATGCTTTACCACTTTCTGTTCTTTAAAGAGAATCTGAAATATACAGGTGAGGAGTCTATTATCCTTATTTCGTCCCCTGGCTGCATCTGCAACCGCAGCAGCTGTGCCCCATCCACTGGCTGGCGTGCCAAAGATTTTGCCCGTCTTGGCTATGGAAGATCAGGCTAAGTTGTTGCCGTATCCTCATGAAATGGGTCCATCAATGGGCAATGTTGGCCCACCAAATACTAATACTGCTTTTGCTAAGGAACAGCAGGTTAAGTATATGTCAGTACCCATTTCTTTGTAAGATCCATATATTACCAGAATGCAGCACTTTCATGCTCCACCCATTGTAGAGCCTCATGTACTGGTCCCTCACTGCAGGATGAATCTGAGCGACCTCCTTTGTCTACTGCTTATATAGATGAGCAAAATACTGGTAATGATGTAGAAACCGATCCATCTGAGGACACCCAGGTACTCTTTTTTGCTCTTCCTTCTATCGTCGTTTAAAGCATTATCCATCTGTCACAAAATAACCATGCTATATATTTTTTGGCATCATTGTGGCAATCAAAACATACACTAAGTCACTCTGTTATATTTCTTAGTTTTTGAAATGTGTACTTTTTGGTCTTGCAGGATGAGTCTGTCCTTTCTGGCTTCATATTTTTGTGCGGTGCAAATACAAAACCTGATTGTTATAGATTCCGTGTTTTTGGGCTTCGATCAAACAAAAAGGAAACGGTAGAAAAGATTAAGCCAGGAACAAAGCTCTTCCTCTTTGATTTCGAGTTGAAGCTTCTATATGGTGTGTATGAGGCAACATCCACTGGAAAAATAAACTTGGAACCACTTGCTTTTGGAGGCAAATTTCCAGCACAGGTAAATCATTTTGCTGTCAGTTATGTAAAATTGTGGCCACTTCTTTGTTGGTCTTGATTAAAAATATGCATGATGATAGTGAGAAATGGGTTTGGAAATCTCTGGTTCAATGTGATTTAAACTCGTCCTGCTTGCATTTATGATTTTCTTTGCTTTTAAGCCCTCAACCTTGGCATATATGTGTATTATTCAAGAATTTTCTTTCACCAATGTTCTTTTTTTTCTTTCTCTAAGAAAAGGAAAAGTTCCGATCCATTCTTTATGTTCCTTTATTTGGCTCTATTCCACGTGATGCATTTTTTTTGGTTTGTAATGTTGTCACTATCAGTAGAAAGTCATTGCTCATTAATTCTACATCCTTCTGTCTACTGTTATCTGTCTTCAGTGTAAGTTTGTAGCATATTATTGTTAGTCACATGGAAGAATAGTTCCTGCAATGTTGGGTGTTGTTGGCCTAAGACGCTAAATTATCTAGATTTTTTCAGAGTAAAATTCACTGGGTTGTTATGTTGTTTGTTTGTTTTTCAGAGTAAAATTCAGAAGTAGACCAGAACATAGAACGTATAATCATGTACAAGCAGAATTTAGCCCAACAAACATCTGAGATTGTAATTGACTACTGAACTTAGGGTCGTTTGGTGCACATACTAGTTATACTGGGAATTTGGGATTATAGCTGTAGGGATTGTTTATCCGATGAATAATAGTGAAGAGACTTATTATGCGGTGATTAATATTGAAGGAATTGCTATGCAAGGATTACTTACTTAAAAAGGCATTTTTGTCTACCCCAAAACCCCTAACAGAGCAGCAATGGTCCTTTCCCACTTTGCTCCCTTGGTGACTCAAACCACTAATCTTATATGTATGGAGGTAGAGGGTCTTTACCACTTGGCTATTCTTCCCTTGTTATCGATTCCTTTATTGCTGCAGTAGGTTGTAAGCTGTCAAGGTAGTAATTTAGCTACTGGGTTTTCATAATGGTATCCTTATCAAAAAAAAAATAATGGTATTCTTGACGTATTTGATGTCTAGGTTATTTGAATTTACAAGAATCACTTCCTCCACCTAATTGATTTGTGCAACTAGTTACTAGATTCATGTTACTATTGCTCTCATTCAGGTGAAATTTCGAATTTTTAAGGAATGTCTTCCCCTGCCAGAAGCTTCTTTCAGATATGCTATCAAGGACAATTATCATGGCAGAAAGTTTGAACCTGAACTAAATGGTCGTCAAGTAAGGGGGTTTCTTTCTTAGATATGGGGTACCAACCTATTTCACACAAGTAGTTGTCTTACAAATGCTTTACCACTTTCTGCTCTTTAAAGAGAATTTTAAACATACAGGTGAGGACTCTATTGTCCTTATTTCGTCCACTGACTGCATCAGCAGCAGCAGCAGCAGCTGTGCCCCATCCGTTGGCAAAAGTGGACCAGTCTTTGGCTAATGTTGGCATGCCAAAGATTATGCCCACATTGGCTATGGAAGATCAGGTTAAGGTGCTGTCATATCCCCAGGAAAAAGTGGGTTCATCAATGGCCAACGTCCTACCTCCAAATAGAATTTCTACTTGGAATATGGAACATCAGGTTAGGTACCCCCCGATGTCTGTTTCTGCAGATGATCCATATACGACCAAAATGCAGCACAGTCATCCTCCACCTGTTATGGAGTCTCAACCAGTCTATGAACTGCAAAGTGCTCAGCATGGATGGCTTAGAACCAGGGATTTCGTGGATAATCATCAGAAATTGACTGCTCCCAGTCATGCATATTCTTATCAACCATATGTCACCGATATACGGGACCCACATATCAGGTTCTTTGCCCTTTGTTTTCTTGTCTTTTTTCTAAATTCTGTGAGGATTTATTGTTCTATTCAGTTTTGGAAGATGGGCGGCAGAAGAGGTGAGGTTTTCAATTGCTTGCTTGCTTAATATTAAGATTGTAGTACTTCGTGCTGTTTGCAATTGGACGCATTTATATTTGCCATTCAGCACAGTGACCTTTTTCTCTTCAATTATCTTTTTGTGTTTGAATCTTTTGGTATTGTTAAGGCAACTATTTTAGCATGTATTAAGTTGAACTCTGGACTACTAGCCCTATGTTTAAGAGTTTGTCTCAAGTATTCTATGTGAATAAAAATTGCTTCCCTGTTTATTGGTTTTTCTTTTTCCAGTCCATTTTCAAACATAATAAATATAGAAGGGTGATCTTAAATTGTCACTTTGACAGGTATACATCAATGCAAGACGTGGTCCTTTCGCAGCAACAATTCATGGGGCTAAATGACAGGAATTACCAATGGTACTCGCGGGTAGAGCAAGAAATGCTGCCACCTCAAGAGAGTACTGTTATACACAACTACTACTCTGGCCCTTCAGCTCCTTATGTTCCTCAAGTTTTTCAACAGAATGTTTCAGAAGCTGTAATCCAACAGACTTCTTCCATCTCATTCCAATATTCATTTGCAAGGCAATTCGGGTAAACTTTTGATGATTGGGTTGTTAACATAATGGTCAGAATGTAAAAGACTTCTTCAATAGGCCTAACTTTCTTGCCGAAGATATCTGTAGTGCCATGGAGGCAAATGTAAATTTGTTTTAGGAAGCAAGCTGTGTCTAAATGCTAATATGATCAAATTGTGGTTAGTGGTAAACTTAGGATCTGCTTTCGTGATCTTCTGGTGTCGTATGAGTTTGGTTTTGTTAAACGTCTAATTCACATCCTATGTGGGAATCTGTTTCTGCTCCACTGTCCATCCGATTGTACGAATCTCTAGTGGTTGACCTCTTGCCTGCCATATTGTTGACCACAAAGTAAGGACTGTGGTGCCAACTGCCAACAAGAAGTGTTAGAATATGTGGTCATGCTATTCTGTTAGACACAGAAGACACACAGCTAGCTACTGATTTTGGTTGCGTAAGTGAACTTTGGTTCAACAACTAGGGGTGACAAATGGGTTGTTTGGGCTGACTCATTAAATGGGTCGTTGCCCAACCCTGCCCAAAGTTTACTTGGGATAAGATGGACTAAACAATGGGTTGTAACCTAACCCGTCCAAATTGACCCAAATATTTGCAATATTCTCAATTTTGAACAAATATTAAAATTATCTTATATTTTGGAATAAATGTCAATTCAAGCCAAATGATTTCTTTCCTCAATTTGGATTTAGAATTTATTTGATAGTTCTTCATCTTATAATACTAACAAAGATCAAAATAATAAAAAAGTAATAAAATTAGAACTCACACCCACCCTAACCCACCTCCCACCACCCCAACCTCCATCCCCACCCTAAATAGAAATATTATTTAGAGTACTTTTTTTTTAATGTTGTAGATAGAGTATTTTTTTTCTATTTCAACAAAATGAATATTTTTTTTATACAACAACAAGAAGCCCACTATTTTCCTACAAGTGGGGTTTGGGGAGGGTGAGATGTGCAGCCTTGCTCCTATCCTAAAGGGACAGAGAGGCTGTTTTCGATAGACTCTCAGCCAGAGAATGGATGACAAAAGTAATGGCAACAAGAAGGAATAACAACGAGATAAAAATACTGAAGTCAAGAAAGCAGTTAAACTCTAGGTAATAATAGCAATATATGAATAAAAGGATATCATACTAACACTAATGCTAGCAAACTGGGAAAGACAAAGAAATACGCTCGACTACCTACTAGCCTTCTATCCTAATTCTTGACCTCCACACCCTCTTATCTAGGGTCATGTCCTCAGTCAACTCCAGCTGCGCCAGGTTCCGCCTAATAACCTCGCCCCAAGACTGCTTAGGCCTACCTCTACCCCTCCTGATACCCACTGAGGCTAATCTCTAGCACCTTCTGACTAGGGCTTATGTACTCCTTCTCTTAATATGCCCGAACTATCTCATTCTCGCCTTCCGTATCTTTTCCTCCATAGAAACCACTCCCACCTTATCCCAATAACTTCATTCCTAATCTTATCCAACCTGGTATGCCCACACATCCACCTTAACATCCTCATCTCAGCTACTTTTATCTTCTGGACATGGGTGTTCTTGACCGGCCAACACTCTACGCCATACAACATAGTTGGTCTAACTACAACCTTGTAGAACTTACCTTTAAGTCTCAGCAACATATTTTTATCACATAAGACACCGGAAGCGAGCCTCCACTTCATCCATTCAACTCCAATACCGTTGGCCCAAGTGACGTTTGTTTTGATAATTGACAAAGGAACTCAAGCATGAACCAGGTCCATACACAGTGCACACAAACACGAGCAAATTCGAGCATAAGGGATGCACGTGAAGGAGATAAGCTTAAGCTGGTATATCTGATATCTCCTGATCAAAAAGGTTGCATAAATGGTAAGGAGAAGGACTCCTTACTCAAAGAGAACTTTATCCAAGATAAGGGAGGAGTTAAAAGTTGAAGATAACTAGAACTCTTCCACCAAGGAAGAGTATAGCATTGAAACTCTAGGTATTTCCTATTCTACTAACTCTATATATTTCAGGATGTTCTCACTTTACAGGTACGCACAAAAGCTGAAGTTAAACGTAAATTGAGAGCAAAATAACAAGGGATTTTGCAAGCAATTCTTGTGTGATTCAAGTGTGCGAACCTGAAGCTATATGAACCAGATAGAAGAACCAGTTCCTAGTATCTGTTTTTTATTCTAGTTTCATTGTAGTAGGGGTTTTCAAATTATACCTTTCAGTTTTATCTAGAAGCACTTGTATTAGACACTCTGAGTATTCAAGTTAGAGTTACTTTGAAGTTGTCACAACAGTTAGAGTCTGGTTGCTATAACGGGATTAGAGGTAATCCATAGGTTTACAAAAAGTTTTGTAAATGTTATTTTGGCTCAATGATTTAGTGAAATGCTGGAAAAACTCCTACTGAGTAGTAGGCCGTGATTTTTCACCTTCTGAGCCAAGTATTTTTTATGTAAAAATACTTGTGTTCTTTACTTTCCACATTTATTATTTTTGCAATAGTAGTATAAGGAACACATAGAAGAACTATGTCCCTCTATAATTTGTGCGCAAGAAAATTGGACATCACACATATCACCCCCCTCTTGTGTGGCATTGAAGTATAAAACATCAATTGGTATTAGAGCAGGTTATCCTTAAAGAGGCTTACACCTTAGGAGAAGATCAACATGAGTGCACCACCTGAAAACTGGAAAGGGAATCCACTGCTAGGCCACCACTCTTTAATGGCCAGTACTACTCTTGATGGAAAAATAGGATGAGAGATCATACTATAGGAGAAGACTATGAGCTATGTGATATTGTCACCTATGGTCCACTGGCTACCTTGAAGAAAAATACTGAAGGAGTAGATGTGCCAAAAATAAGAGCTGATTGCACTGTTGACGATTTGAGGAAGTGGGAGAAGAATGTTAAAGCCAAGAAATGACTTGTTTGTGGACTTGGTCCCGATGAGTACAACAGAATCCAATGTTGTACCACTGCTAAGCAAATTTGGGACACACTGCAAGTGGCTCGCGAAGGAACACCTCAGGTGAAGAGATCCAGAGGAACTCTACTATACTCTCAATATGAGAATTTTGTTGTGAAGGAATGAGAAACTATTCAAGAAATGCACACAATGTTCACTATACTGAAAAATGAACTAAAATCTCTTGGAAGGATTATTCCTGAAGAAGAAAGGATCAAAAAGATATTAACTAGAGTTTTGCCTATCACTTGGGAGAGTAAAATCACTGCCATCCGGGAATCAAAGAATATTGCCACTCTCCTACTAGATGAATTGATTGGAAATCTTACTGCCAATGAACTTAGGAGACAGACCATGAAGATAGATGTATCTAAGAAGGAAAGGAGTTTGGCTCTCAGAATCACTGAAGGTTCTGATCTAGAAGATGACAAAATGACTGATTACCAAAGACTTCAAGAAGTACCTAAGGAGAGGAAAGGGTTCTTCAAGAAGTGGAAGATACAAAAAATCAAAAGCTCCTGAGAAGCAAACTAATAATGGCTGCTACAAGTGTGGAAAGACTGATCACCATATCAAGAACTGACCTTTGCGAAAAATTGAATGGAAGAAGGAAAGAGCTGAACGAAGGAACAAGAAGAAGGAATACGTTCAATCCAAGAAAAGTAACAAAGGACCAGCAAAGGCTATGGTCTCTGCTTGGGGAGATAGCTCAGATGATGATGATGATGATAATCGAGCACTTATGGCCATTGGAGAATCTGATGAAGAAACTAAGGTAGGTGTCTCTCATCTCAAAGACAAGATTAAATTTTTGTCTAAGGAAAGGTTATCTGAGTTGCTCCTAGAACTAATTGATGAATCTGAGGATGTAAATAATGAAAAGGAACATCTGTCAAAAGAGTGTGTAGTTTTAAAAGCTAAGTGCAAAAATCTGGAACTTAGGGCTAGTGAAACTAAAAGTGAAAATACTGTGTTAAAGAACCAGGTTCATGACTTGACACAACTGTCCTAGAACTTAGATCTGAAAATCTAAAACTGAAATTAGGAATAGTTAAAAAGACAATTGATCACACACAACTCACATTAGAAGAAAATGTAGGAAAAATAAAAGATGAGTTGTACAAAAGAGATGAGCAAATAAGAAGCCTAAATGAGGATCTAAGCAAAGTCAAGCACGAGCTAGATAGAACTTGTAAATGGAATAGGTCCTCCGATGCACTTTCATGGCTACAAGAACACCATAGTAGCAACAGAAGAGGACTTGACTTTGGGAACCCTGCACCTAAGTGGGATCCCAAAAGCAAGTAATTTATATTTTCTGAGAACAAGATTTGCACACACTATGATAAAACATGTCACTATAAAAATGAATGCACTGCACACAAAAAAGGCAATTCAAAAGAACAAAGAATTTGTTCAAAGGAAAAATAGGCTACCAACTTAAGCTAAAAAGAATTTGATTCACCCTTTTGCCTATAGAAAGGGACCTAAACTAGTTTAGATTCCTAAGACTAACCCCTGATTTCCTTTTGCAGGTCCAAGTGAAGGGGAGCAGCCAAATATGGTACATGGATAGTGGTTGCTCAAAGCATATGACAGGAAGCAAGAACGATTTCCTTTCACTTGAGGACCTTAAAGGAGGCAATATGTCTCCTTCAGAAATGGGAAGAAAGGTGAGATCATTGGGGTTGTGTCACGATCCAAAATTTCCACTTTCGGGACTATGATGGCGTCTAACATTTCACTTGCTAGGCAAGCCAACATTAGAATAATATTAGCCATTTTAAACAAATTTTAATTTAATTAACAACAAGAAACAATGCGAAAATAAAATCTGAAATAAAGCAAATAATCCATAATAATAGCGATGTCTAAATACCATCCCAGAACTGGTGTCATAAGTGCATGAGCTACTAGAATAGCACAAATAAAGGTCTAAGTGAAAATAAAGTTGTCTGAAAGAAATACACAGCTATGATAAAGTGGAAGGGGACTTCAGAACTGCGAACGCCATGCAGCTATACCTCAAGTCTCCTACGGATAGTTGAATCCGAGCAAGTCTATTGTGCGCATTAGGATCAACTCCGGTATCTGCACAAGAAGTGCAGAGTGTAGTATGAATACAACCGATCCCATATACCTAGTAAGTGCCGAGTCTAACCTCGATGAAGTAGTGATGAGGCTAAGGTTGATCACTTACATTAACCTGTACGCAATAATAATAACAACAATAATAATAGGATGACAGGAACAGAAATAAAACAGGTAGTCATATCAACCATCAATGCCAACT